GGCATTTCTATATCTCTCTACAATTGATGTATTGAACACTATTTTAACAGTGGTATTTCTATATCGCTCTATAATTGATGTATTGAGAACTATTTTAACAGTGGTATTTCTATATCTCTCTACAATTGATGTATTAAACACTATTTTAACAGTGGTATTTCTATATCACTCTACAATTGATGTATTGAGCACTATTTTAACAGTGGCATTTCTATATCTCTCTACAATTGATGTATTGAACACTATTTTAACAGTGGTATTTCTATATCACTCTACAATTGATGTATTGAGCACTATTTTAACAGTGGTATTTCTATATCACTCTACAATTGATGTATTGAGCACTATTTTAACAGTGGTATTTCTATATCTCTCTACAATTGATGTATTGAGCACTATTTTAACAGTGGTATTTCTATATCACTCTACAGTTGATATAATACTATTTTAGCAATGAGATTTTTGTTATTATTATAACTTTTGTATGTTATTTATTAGTATCATGAGCGAGATTAAAGATATAACTTTTGTATTATTAAGTTTTGTTCTCCCTTTCCTAGTAAACGCTCTAGAACATGGTTTTTTAACCTGGAGGTAATTTCGGGATTTTTCGGGGATAATGAGAAGCGTTCTATTCAAGGAAGTAATATATCCGGAGGGACAAGTAATATATCCGGAGGGGCAAGTAATATATCTGGAAGGACAAGTAATATATCCAGACGGGCAAGTAATATATCTAGAGGGGCAAGTAATATATCTAGAGGGGAAAGTAATATATCCAGACGGGCAAGTAATATATCTAGAGGGGCAAGTAATATGTCTGGAGGGGCAAGTAATATATCTGGAGGAGCAAGTAATATATCTAGAGGGCAAGTAATATATCTGGAGAGGCAAGTAATATATCTAGAGGGGCAAGTAATATGTCTGGAGGGGCAAGTAATATATATGGAGGGGCAAGTAATATATCTGGAGGAGCAAGTAATATATCTGGAGGAGCAGGTAATATATCTAGGGGGGCAAGTAATATATCTGGAGGGGCAAGTAATATATCTGGAGGGGCAAGTTATATATCTGGAGGGGCAAGTAATATATCTGGAGGGGCAAGTAATATATCTGGAGGAGCAAGTAATATATCTAGAGGGCAAGTAATATATCTGGAGAGGCAAGTAATATATCCGGAGGAGCAAGTAATATATCTGGAGGGGCAAGTAATATATCTGGAGGCGCAAGTAATATATCTAGAGGGGTAAATAATATATCTGGAGGAGCAAGTAATACATCTGGAGGGGCAAGTAATATATCCGAAGGAGCAAGTAATACATCTGGAGGGACAAGTAATATATCTGGAGGAACAAGTAATATATCTGGAGGAACAAGTAATATATCTAGAGGGACAAATAATATATCTGGAGGGACAAGTAATATATCTGGAGGGACAAGTAATATATCTGGAGTAGCAAGTAATATATCTGGAGAGGCAAGTAATATATCTGGGACAATGGTGTATTGTGTTTGGTTGCAGTAATGGAATTGGTCGGTTTTCGGAATGGGGGCTTTGCTTTGCCGTTTGTCCCACTGTAGCTACGGGTTACGTATTCAGTTGAGATCTTGGCTGCCTTTGTGAAATTGGTGCCTTGAGAAGGCAGAAGGTCCTACATCCTGGCTTGTTTTCAAGGAACCTAGTGGGCGTGTTTCGTAGTCGTTCACTATGTCAGCATAGCTAACAGGCCAATATCGTCGATGACATGCAATAAAGCATAGCTCTGAGAGTCCAAAGAGCCATCATCTTCAGGGGATGTGAAGAGGTTTTCTTTTATATGTTTTGGGGACAATGATAGCATCAATTTCCAACCACGTCTGTGGTTCCTGCAATTCAACGAAAGCTAGTATTTTATGATGTCACTATTAGGTTATTATTAGCAGCTTTTGCGATAGTGACGTCATCAAACACTTAGTTTTAGTGGAATGGCGGGAACCACAGACGTCTGATTGAAAATTGGAATGGTACAAAGTGATGCTATCAGTGTCCCCGATACACATAACAAAATTTAGAAAACCTCTTACAATCCCTTTAAGAAGACCTCTTTAACTATCCGAATTCAATGCGTGAATGCATAACATTAGCTCAGAAATCTAACTATGCTAAGAGCATATATAAAACCTATATCCAACGTACTGTATACGTTAATACTATAAGGTCAATTAATTTATAGAATATGTAGAGCAGGTAGAAACAATCGATAGAAGCAGGTGGCACATTGATCACATGACAACAAAAATGGCGGACAGGATTCCAACTCGTTTTTTTATTCTCATCGTCATCAAATTCTACATGTTTTGAAAAATCTTCATTAAAAACGACTGATTTGTTGTCTACTGAGGTAAGCAGTGTATTATTTGTATGGTCAGGCATTCCAAATTAAGGGGACAGATTCGCCATTCGTTTAACCAATCGTACCTTAGTCTCAGAAACGGGGAATTTTTGCAGCGAAGCCAATCAGTAATAGTGTTCACAGCTCACCGTCGAAATTTGAACCTTCAGATCCCTGTGTGTCCAGAATTATCTGTGTTTGAAAGTTAAGATGACGACTCGTCTTTTCTTGAGACTCTGCCTTATCTAGAGCATACCAGTTGTACTTTTTAGAAATGACATCAAATCATGCATGCTCGAAAAAATTCAACTCTACAAATAGGGCAGATTTGGAGCTGCAAAGCCAAACGTTTTTGGACAGCCACCGGGGAATCTACTGATCCTGACTGACCTTTAGATTTCCCCCAAGCAGGTATGATGTCTTTGACTTCTCCTTTCAGCTCAAAATGGCAGAAAACGGTGAAAAGGAAGATTTCCTTACGCTCGAAGAAATGATCTCTGTGCGGAATGATATCGTGAGGAGTGGATTCGTCGGAGAGACTCCGTTGTTGAAGCACATGCAGTATCTGTTCCCACAACTGGCGGAGCAGGGCGTCGATCTTTATCTGAAGCTGGAGAACATGCAGAACACGGGATCGTTCGAACTCAGGGGGGTCGTCAATCAAATCGCCAAAATCAAATCAAGAATGAGCAATCAGAATCATAGGACAAAATTTGTGACCAACTCAGCTGTGAATTTCGGAAAAGCTTTTGGTTACGTTCTGCAACAGCGGAGCTTGTTGGGAGTCTGCATCATGCCAGATTCGTCTTCGCAAAGCAAAATGGAGAGGATCAAATGCCATGGCGTGAAGGTTGAGCTCTGCCCTGCGACTGAGATCCAGTCGAGAGTGGACAGGTACGTAGCAGAGAACGAATACCATTATTGTGACTCAAATGACGATCGGGATTTGATGGCAGGTTATTCTAGCATTGGTCTCGAAATCTTGGAAGCTCTTCCCGAATTTGACATCCTGTTGATTTGCTGCGAAGGAGGGGGGCTGCCTGCTGGAGTTTCGGCCGCCATTCGCTCGAAGCTAAAACGAACCTGCTGCCAAATCTATGCAATCGAGTCTGAAAGCTCCCCAACCATGTTTGAAAGTTTCAAAAACAAAATGGCGGCTTCCACATCCACTTCCGCTTCCGTTGCGTCTTCCTTATCATCATCCAGCACCGGAACACTTGCATATCGTTACTGTCGCGAATTTGTAGATGACGTCATCCTAGTGACCTATGAAGAAATTCTAAATGCCACGAAGAAACTGTTTGATGTCGGTTTGATTGTGGAACCATCCGGGTCTGCTGCCATGGCCGCGTTGCTAAGCAACAAGATCCCGGATGTGAAATTTAAGAAAGTGGTAGTGATTGTATCAGGTGGGAATATTACCCCGGATGAATTAAAAGAATTAATATAGCTTGATCAGGTGCCCCTGTTCAATGAGTTCGCCCAATTTTCTCATGCGCCTCAAGTTACAAATGTATTTGAAGATCCACTGTCTCTGCATCGTATCACGAATACGGGTTTTGACATGGTCTTATCCCCCGAGGAAGTATGAAGAATGGAGGTGTAGTTTGGGCACGATGCTGTCTAAGATTAGGCCAAAAAAACTGTCTTGCCTTATAACTTCTGATATTGGGGGAGCAGTGGTAGCTCAGTGAGTTAGATGCCTGCTCGCTAACCTGAAGGTCCGTGGTTCAATCTTGGAATAGATGGTACCTATGGATTTTTCATCCCGGTTGCTACTACTGACAATGGTAGCCGTGTGCCTCAGTGAGTTAGACGCTTGCTCGCTAACTGAAGGTCCAGGGTTCAATCCTGGCATAGGTGGAGATGGTACCTTCGGATTTTTTAACCTGGTTTTCCCCGGTTAAGCGGAGACAAAGGGTATTATTTCGAACTATGTCGGAATTGGACGCTGGACGCTTGAGATTTAAAACGCGGAGTTTTACGTCTTTTTATAATAATGAAACCTTTCAAAGGTATAATTAAAACAACAATATATGAATAATAATTAACAAAAATAGAAGCCATTGAGATTTGATTAACATGCGCTTCAAAAGCCTGTGTCCCAGACCGGTGCTTTTATGAGACTATGAAGTTTATTGAACGCCGACATATTTGATTGACGAAGCAGTTTAGCTTGTATTAGATGGTGATAGTCTCATAAAAGCACCGACCAGGGACACAAAGCAAAGATTCGTAATAAAACAAGGTGCAAATTTTAAGAAATTTGGAAAATGAATTATGCATGGCTAATGATGCTTGTGTGTTGATTAATGAAGTGGGCGGGACCTATGACGTCACTCGACACTTGTCACCGCCTCTAATTCAACTTTGAGTACTTTTACAAGCGAATTGAAAGAAAGATGTGTTCATATACGTCACCTGACTAAGTATTTGGAATGCTGCCAACAATGTTGTAAGGAGAATTCGCATCAAGTGATGAATATTTACAGTGTCCTAATAACCCGCACGTGCATTTCATGCCGTGGTACGATAAATACAGCGAGTTTAAAATGAAATATCATTCTACTTGGAAATCATCGAAGAATTTGACGTGACTTTTGACGGCGACAAAATAACACTAGAAGCAATAATTTTTCTTCTCTTTTTACCACTTAGGTTTTTTTTTTGGCTTTGATTAACGAAAACAAAATCCTTTCTATTTCCAGTATTGTGTTTGTTATTTTTCCGTTAGTTTATTAATTTTTTGTGTCGCGTTTTTTTTTATTTTTTATATTTTTTTATTATGTCACTTTATTTTTTTACGTGTGTGTGCGTGTGTTTTTATTTAGAAGGATAAATTAACTCTCACTTACCTTGTTACTTTTTTCGGCTTCTTGTGGACTCGAACCCGCAGCGTAATATTCTTTGATGAACAAACACGTTAACCGCTTGAGCCATCGCACTTGGCTGAATGTTTGTGAAGATTTTAGGTCTATATGGGAAGGAAATCCGATATTGCACTACGAGGGTGAGCGTTTATAAAATCTAAATTCACCTCGGGATTCCATCAACCCAAGATTTTACATCAACTAGGTGTTTTAACTTACTCTTTGGATAGTTTAAGATGTTTCCGATGGCGATTTTAAAAAAATTTCGGTGATATTTACGTTAATTTTGAATTATTTTGAGGTTTAAGGTAAAGGCTAAATACTGTGCTGGACGGTCACTTTCCATTGCCACAATAGCTCGGTCGGTTGGGTGGCAGATCATTTTTTGTAAGGTACAGATCGGAGGTTCGATTCCATTCTGAAGAATTTTCATTTTTATTTTTAAAAAAGTTAGGTAGCTGTCAAGGGTCTAGTATACTGATCGAACCGTCGTACGTGCATGTCACCATGGGTCAGTTGGTAGGACTGCTAATCACGTGTGGATATTTTTTTTTGGAACGCCTTTTCGATTCCCACCACGAGAAAGCTTTTTTTGTAAAAAATATTTATGAAAAGCTAACGATATCTCTAATGTTGGGTTTTCTCGTAAGTAGGTCGTACGTGCATATCTCAATGGCTCAGTCGACTCGACGGCTGGTCAATACATTGATGCTAAGGTCGAGGGTTCGATTCCTCCGATGAGAATTTTTATAAAATATTATATAAGGACTAGATCTTTATAGATAAATTAGCGAACATTCCACGTCGTCTCCGTAGCTCAGTGGATAAAATGCTCGGTGAGAAAGCTCGATGATGCGGGTTCGAACCCCATTGAAAGAAAGGGCATATTTTGTTATACCTTTAATTTCTTCTTCGTGAGCTATATAGTTAAATTAACATTCATCTCTCGTCGTCTCCGTAGCTCAGTGGATAAAGTGCTTGGTAACTTATCCTACGGTTGTGGGTTCGAACCTCAGTATAGGAAACTGTCCGTACCATTTTGATAATTTCATTATAAAGTTCACATATAAAATGGTTAATTTCTTCAGTGTTTGTTGTGTCCGCCGTAGCCCTGTGGTTAGAGCACTAGCTTGAGACCAAGATGATCCCCGATCGAATCTCCACTGGGGCGAAGTATAACACCATTTTGAACATTTCTATATAAAGTTCACATATAAAAAGGCTAATTTCTGCAGTGTTTGTTGTGTCCGCCGTAGCCCTGTGGTTAGAGCACTGGCTTAAGATCAAGACGAACCTGGATCGAATCTCGTTGAGGCCAACGATAAAAGTAACTATTTTGAACTTATAAAAGATTCACTATCATTTAAAAGAGCTTAAATTTCGTGGTTTGGTAACGGGTCTCTATGGCCTAGACGGATGGATGGTGGACTTGGGTGAGAACTCTGTTTCGACGGCGAGGGTTCGAACCCAGGTAAATCTCTAGAGGCTTTTAGTCTCGACTCTTCTCTATCGCTTTCCCCCCTAAAAATATTCTACATAACTTACTTAAGGTAAGTTGGGCCTGCCGCAGGCAAGACACTATCAATAGATAGAACGAGTGGCAGGTTGGAAGAACGAGAGTCAAGGAGGGGAGCCGAGGGGCAAGCAGGTGCCCGGGACCCTCCAAGATTCTAAAGGAGTGGAAGATACTTACTATTTTAATACTACTATAGTAGGCTGTGACTTTGAACTTTAAATATTACTTACATACACATTTTTGAAGGTTGGCTTTTTGGCCGTGGTCGTAGAGTTGTTCATCCCCTCCTTGCTTTTTTCTATCATTTAGACGTCCCGGGTTCGATTCCCACTCAAACCCAACTTTCGGTTTTTAAATATCTAGCCAGATATTTTGGACACTTTCTAGTGGTTTTTGAGCCCACTAAGGAAAATCTTTGCGATCACCTGTGGGGTTCGAACCCACCAAATTTTCTAGTAGCATGTAACTACTAAGGATGACCCTGTCACCCATGGGATTCGAACCCACGCTTTTCGCCACTCCGTGGCTTTTTGTTGACCAGCGCTCTACCACTGAGCCATCCAGTCGAACACAAACTAGGAATTTGTATCCATTATAACTGTAATCTTATATTTTAAATAATATAAAAATACACAGAGAATTTTCTCTTCGTGGGAATCGAACCCTCGACCACTACCTCGTCAGACCAGCGCTCTTACCACCTGAGCCACCCAGACTGTCAAATTAATGTATCATATAACATACTTGACTATAGCCCACGAAGAAGATGCAAGAAAAATCTATCTAGACTCCAACGGGGATCGAACCCTCGACCATCAAATCGTAAAATTATCCTTTCAATCGCTTTGACCACTCGCCCACCACGACTACGCTGAGGAGTGGTGGTTAGCAATTGCCCAATCCTGGACTAATATGATTTTGTTACTTTGGAAAGAGGTCGGAATAACGAGATTATCTCGAGATTCCGACCTCTTTCCAAAGAGAACAGAATTTTTCCAAACGACGGTCGACCTAATTTTATCTTTGTGATGGGCTGGTGATCGTCTTGGACCACTAGAAGATGAAGTTTTATAAATAAAATTTGTAGCAATTCAATTCTCACTACGGGATTCGAACCCACGACCAAAAAATAGATAAAGAGAAACAATCTTACCGACTGAGCTATCGCAAAAAAGCACGTGCATAGTGTTCACCAGTAGACCTAACCCGAGTAGACGCTGTTATCCAGTCACTTGGATCAACCAGTCCGCTTTTTGAAATACCAATTTAAGGTAAAATCAAACCATATAACCTTTAAGTCGACAAGCAGTATTCAGTCAAGTGCGATGGCTCGATCGGTAAAACAGTTCGTCCGCCATCGTCGTCCAGCTATACGAGTTCGAGACCACAAGGTAAGAAGAAAAATTGAAGGTAAGAGTATATCATTAATCATATTGTATTTGTATTAAATTCTCTACACTATGCACGCACAAAACCTCAACATACACAACAAAACAAATGCACATGCAAAATCCTGCATACATAAAAAAAAAAAAAATTACAATTTACAATGGTAGTGCACTTATCAATCAAAATATTAACCACGCCCACCTACAACTTAATTGACACCCCCTTCAAATCACAAAATATTACCAACTCAAAACATTTTTTTCACCATCGTTTAAAAGTACAAAAGCGAATAAAATCAATGCGATTATGCGACACTTTAGAAAAAAAATTCAATAAAATGTGTAATATTTGTTGTTTGTATTATCCAGCGTTACAACAAATTAACTGTAGTCTGTCTGTAATATTATTAAATGTAGTTACGCCCCTTTGATCATTGGATCTGAGAACAACAGAATAGCCAAGTCTTACTGACAACAGAAAATGTCTTTATGTACACCAACATTATTAGGTTTATTATAATATATGTAAAACATTTCGACAGTAAGATTAAATTTTTTTATGAGTTTACAGGGACGACATCTTCACTATGGTTAAAGTATTACGTCTTCATATATAAGATAAAACAAATAAGTTAAAACATGTCCATCAAATAAGTCAAAACATGTCAATCAAATAAATCAAAACATGTCCATCAAATCAGTCAAAACATGTCCAATCATATAAGTCAAAACATATCCATCAAATAAGTCAAAACGTGTCAATCAAATAAGTCAAAACATGTCCATCAAATAAGTCAAAACATGTCAATCAAATAAATCAAAACATGTCCATCAAATCAGTCAAAACATGTCCAATCATATAAGTCAAAACATATCCATCAAATAAGTCAAAACGTGTCAATCAAATAAGTCAAAACATGTCCATCAAATAAGTCAAAACATGTCCATCAAATAAGTCAAAACATGTCCATCAAATAAGTCAAAACATGTCTATCAAACACGTCAACCGATCGATATTAATGCCTGATTATCAAGGGCTGACGACATCTTTCTGACTCCTTTACACTTGATAAATCAAATGATATCAATATAGCTATCTCTTATGTTTATCTCCCTATTTCTCATTATCGTAATCTCTTTCCTCATCGTCACCTTTGAACTTGGCTACTATTGAGGGCGGTACAAAAAGGCTTTTAAAGCTAATTGCGTCTCCGCGAAGTCAAAGTGTCACTTTTCTGGATTAATAATGGTGTGTTTTGCGGAAATTATAGATACAGTAGAAAGCAGGCTCTTAGACAGACTTGATTGGTCGGAGAGCATTAATGCAATTTGTCGGTTGTCAGAATTGTTTCCTGTGAGCCAAGGGCCGCGCAATCCGTTTTTTGGGGTGGGGAGGGGGGGGGGGGGGGGGGCATTTCCCTG